CTGCGCAATACGAGATCTCTGGATAAATCAGAAAAAATGGGAACAAACGACACAAACACTTGAAGTAGCGCAGAAGATATTTGTTATGTAGAACGAAGTTCACATGGCAGAACACAAGCGATCGATACAAACCTCGTTGTTTGGCAAATCATCATCCTTAAAAACCTGAACTTGAACCGTTTATATCCATATCATGAGCAGCGCGTATATCAAATATAGGGCTGTTATCATATTTACCGAAGAGGCATTCTTTAGCGAAGAAGCCTCCTACACCATACATAACACACATAGGGGCAGTGGACAATCGCAGAAGTGATCGAACATCTGCAGCACAACACCAATTTTCCGTCAGTGTTCGGGCATACATTATTAGTGACCACCCTAATAAATCCATATCTATTTGTCTGCATGGGTGACCTAATAAAGTTTTCAGTGAGGAAGCTTGCTCAGATTGTTGAATGAACAAAGCATCCAACAGCCAAGGCGCAACAATATGTAGTTTAAACATGATGGAGCCCCAGCCCATTCTATTTATTATTCATTTTCTTGTTCGGCAACACTTGAATTCGATATTTTGTGAAAGCTGGATTGGTGGTTATGATCCTATTTTTTGGCTTACTAGTTCACCGGACTTTCGTTTCTAGGTTTCTTTCTGTGGGGTTGCTTGAAATGCATGGTATACAAAACACCCGTTATTAGTAAGTAGGATCTTGTTGTGCGCATTGGCGTAACTAGCCCGATATTCCGTGAAACATCTGGTATTTTCCAAAAAATTCGTGATTCTATGCAATCTTGCGTCGTTGATGGCGAATATACTGTGACCAATGAATACAGCAACTGTAGAGAATAATAATTAATATTAATTGAAACAAAATTCCCCATGTCGGACAAAAGTCAAGTTAGTTCATCTCCACTTGCATCCACCGATGGACCAAAAATTGAAGGCAAAAATGATTCAGCAAAACTGATCGTTCAAATATCATCAAATCCAAGATAAATTAATTGAAATATAATATTTGTATTTAAAAACAAAAGCCAAGATAAATTGATTAAAATACAATATTTGTATTTAAAAACAATCTGGTATAGACACCGCAGGATTTCCTTGCATGGCCTATTTCAAGGCCGTACAAATCTACATACTTTGCTGCACTTCATTTAAACTTATTTATTTAATTTATTCTCAAGATTTAACTGATCTCTCGAGACAAGCTGAAAATGACATAAAAAATTGCAAATTTTGAAATTAAATATACCGGCCAATTTTTTTTTCCGTACTGAAGTCAAACATTATATTTTTTTTTCATAACGAGCATAAAACGTTCTTAAATATAAGTATAGAAGCCGGGAGATAGCATTAAAAGTTTAGTTTAATTATTTGTCTAAAATTATTTTTTTTTTGTTTTAATGTTTTCATCATTTAAAACACTTCTGTTTTTGGAAGTATAGTAATGCGGCAAATGATTGAGAAAATAAACTCCGGGTAAGGAATTTAAGCCGGATAAGAGGAAGATATATGTACATATATATACTTCTGGGTCTGCCGATTGCAATAAAACAGGGAAAAGAACAAAGTGGATGTTATAGCAGTCCCGATATAGAAAGTTTCAACGTTTACGACTAATCGGTTTTGAGCTATGCGAGATACATACAAAGAAACATACGTACGTAGACACGTCGCAGACACATCCGATTTGAATCCATTTTGGAAGAAAACGGTCCTTTGTTCTGTCCGTACGTACAGACGTCACGCAAAAAAATTGTCCAAACGGTTTCGGAAACAGGTCAAAATGTATGATATCTGAAATTTTTCACGATTACTGTATATTCTTTACTTCGTAAAAGGATGCAAAACAGAGCTTTCAGATATTTGTACAATCTTTTATAGTACAAATAGATTAATTGTTTCTAATTTGGATTCTCCGAAATATTTGAAGCATGAATCGGCGGTCAAAGTTTAGCTTCCGTATGCAAAATCTGCACTGTTTTAAACATTATACGCCTTCTGTGGTATTTAGTTACTAATATATACGTATATGAAGATTAATCTAGATAATATCCTAATGTTTGCTTTTCGTTTATCGCAATGAACAAATAAGTTTAAAAAAATTGAAAAAATAATATACCTTTAAATGAAATCCATCTTCTAGTGAACGCAAGAATTCTCGAACTGATGAGAAAAAACATTCATGGAAAGATTTCTGATAACGATGGAGAAAAAATAGCATAACTACTTACGTTGATTCCCATTAGAGCTCAGAGCAAACATTCGATTAAGAATCGATGAAGAAGCTTATATCCCAAATCGATCCGTACACGCCTGGGCGCTCTACATGATGACAGAAATGGCCTGACTTAGAGAGCTTTTCTTTACTTTTATTCCTTATTATATTTCATTCTCATTTCACGGAAAGGAGGGTCACTCATTTCAGTTAATCGCTTAGTGATCGAAGAAAAATACTAACTCGTAGCTTCACAGTTCTTGGGCTAACAGGAAAGAGAATAAGATAAACAGTGGTTTAAGAGAGATTCCTTACAAATATTTGAGAATAATTTTTAGGTGACTTTCGAGTCAGCTTTTGAATAATTCATTTTAATTTCATGTTTGTGCTTAAAGATAAAAATTGAAATTTCAATTAAATGGCAATATGTAATAATATTGTAAAAATATTCTTATTACAAATATAAAATCAATAAACCTTTCCTGTGTATACCCTTCCTGTGTATCTTGTCTACTTCCCACAGTTATTGAACATAGCTTTAGTAAACTCCCTGTTCCGAGTCAGGTCTGTGCATGTTCCCAAAGAAAGTAAGACGGAACATTGAACCTGATAGTATTACTGCGAGCATTGCGACTCGTATACAAGCTGTTCAACAGTTTCACTAATGGAACGCAAATAAGACAAATAAGTTGCAGAGCAATCCTTTCACCTCTCAGTAAAATAGTCTTCAAAACAATTTTGAAGGAAACCATGGCGTCTGCTCAAACGCATACTGTAGTATGGTCTCTATTCATTACTCATTTATCTTAATTAGAGCTGTAAAAAATATACCTTTTTGATTTGTTTAATTGTGATACTCATCAGAAAAAATATTGTTAAGCTTCTTTCTCTATTCTTATTAATACTTCAATACGTATAATAAACATTTTTTAAAACTATTCATTGATTTAAAGTGTTATCTTTTATCAAAAGTCGAATAATGCGGATAATCTCTGTAGAAATTCATTTTCCATTTGTTCCTTTTCAATACTTTGGGAAATTGAAAGCAAATATACCCTCATTCCAATACCTCATTTCCGTCTGAATGAAAACTAGGAGTAAAAATGAAAAAATATTCCACTCTCATATTTTTACTAACATACTATCTATTGGATATCCTCTTTCTTAAATTCAAAAAGAGAAAGAACTCGAAAGCCATTTATATTCAAACCCTGAAGAGAAAAGGCAGCAGTCTTAAATTTTAAAGGTGACGATTTGCTGTTTTATGTGTGATATAAAAACTGAAAAGTTTTATATCTCAGATATTTCTCATCTTGATGCAATAATTAAACAATACTAATAAAAATGAAATTACAACTTACATACAAAAAATAAATAAACAAATAAAATACGAAACCAATGAGATCCTGCTAAAATACTGATTGCTTTAATTCAGGATAATTAATTAACTATTTTTGCATATGTATTGGTTCTAATGGATTGAATGCATACAGAACCGATGAAAGCTTGATGAAATTTATTTTCCCAACACACTTGACAATTCTGGTCACTTGGCAATGTATGTGAAAAGCATACATGTACTGGTACAGCTCTTCTCAGTACGACACAGCATAAACAGTAGTTACCACTTCAAATTACTAATTAAGCATATAGCAATACAAAGACAAATCTCGCAAAGGACTCACAATATTCCGAGCTAAACTGAAAAGTGATGCCCTGTATTCGGTCTTATATAGTTTATCTTCGTCTGCTCAGAATTTTACAGTACCTTCGATTGCCCGAAATTGCTGAAAGAAAAGCAATTAGAGTTACACAGGGCCGGATGCGGTTCCAGTTACATATGTATCAGACCAGTATCAGTTACACAGGAACCGAAAAAAACTGCTCGGCAAATCTGGCGAACAATGGCCTTTTCTCGCGACATTTGGCGACAAAAATTGGCTGTAAAATTGGCACTATTTTGTCAGATTGACAAGAAATCGCCAAAATTGTCCAAACCTGGCTAACATTTGGCGACATTTTGGTCCGATCCCTATGTAATTGCATCTATATCCGGCCCTATGTAATTGGAGCTATATATGCCTTTCAGCAAGAGCTCTCTGAGTACTTTGTGTGAAAGTTCTAGAACTGTAAAATGTTTCTGGGAAATGAATTTCATCAAGCTTTCATCAGCTGTATGTCCATTCAATCCATTACGAAACCATACGCACATAATAACTTTTGATATCACAAGTGGGACTGAATGCTAGGGACAAGAGCGATTGTTGTGCTGAGATCGTTAGAGACAGCCTTTGCTGCAGACCGAGAAATCATGGAAGGGGATATCAAGTGAGAGAAGGACACGTACCAAGAAGAGATGAAATGGGACAAGAAGATTCAAACGTAGGCCTAGAAGAGATGCATTTGGGTAAAGAAAAGATGGAAGGCATCGTTAACTCGCTCCAAACAAAGAATGAAGTGGGCCGAAAGAAGAATGAAGCAGGTCAAAAGGAAATGAAAATCGAGATTTCTGCCATAACAGAAAACAAATCCGAAGGGATGGAATGCAGAATAGACATGGTTGAAAATAAAGCTGAAGAAATCGAAGTAAGAAGTTTTGCTGTTGAAAAACAAATTGCAGGAAGACTTGGCGGTCAACAAATCGAAGGCAGAGTTTCTGCTATAGCTGAGCAAGCCGTCATCTTTAGGGAATCCATATGACAGCTAGGAACAATTCTGACGAATTAAAATTAAAAGCTCTGTCTTCTCCACCCTCTTTATTAAAACTATCCAGGCATTATGAGAAGATATGCTAGTAAGTGTACAAGACTCAGCTCTCTATAGTGGCCAATTCAAATGGATGGTATTCCGGAACTAGGACCTGCTATCTCGCTGCTTATCTGATAGCAAACGCAGCGGATATCCTTCAAACGGCTGCTTGAAAACGTTGGAAGCCCTGTCAGACGCAGTGGATCTTTGGTTTCGCGCGATGTGTTTAAAAGAAGACTATAACAGACTTTACTTAAAATCTTGTCAACAGATTTCGCCCTGGAAACACTCCAGGAGCTTGTCACGGATGTTAAAATGCTATCTCATAGTATTCTTTCGGGCTGCCCAACATAAACATGGGAACCTTACCGCTGCAGTACTTAGTCGATAGCATCCGGGAAAATGAGTTCCAGAAAGCCTACGAAAGGCAGATGCCAATGATTTAAAAAGCGCCCAGCTAATCGCGGCAGTCCAGCAAGAAACCTGGAGAGACCGACCACGCAATAAAAACTGCTCATGTCGAAGAACCAGCATATCACATTACAGCTAGTCTAGACGATTTAACCAGGTAATTCAATGCATGGAGATGGAAATATGAGTGGCAACAAATCGATTGTAAAGTGATGGAACTGCGGTGGTAGAGAGCGTCATACGAACGAACTGCAAAACACCACACCACCCGGAAGTTATGACCGCTTCCAATAAGGAGGTACTAACCTAACCAGTAGCCATCTCGCAATGCCGAATTTGCCAGATATTGCTATGTCTCATTTTAAAGTTTACCCGATTTCTGCGATGCGTGTTATCAGGAATTGACTCTTCATCATAAGGCATATACGTGGTGGTTCCTGCAATATGGTAATCGATACAGAAACCAATGTTAACATCATCCAAAATGATATGGCTCAACGGTAAGGTAAAACCATCTGGTTTCCGGCAATAAAATCGACGTCGACAGAAAGCTAAACGTTAACATGACATTTGGAATATGCGTTAACCAACACACGTTATATGCGGCAGATATTAGATCTTTGTGCACTATGATTAGACATTTCTTATGTAATATAGTTTTACCTTGAAATTTAAAAATAGTTAACTGCATTCTACTTCTGAGGACATAACCATTTTTGGAATCAGAGATAAAAAAAATTGTTACCATCCATCAAATAATAGCTCACGGAGATATCACATTATCAGCAAGAACAGCATTTTGACTGCCTAGATCCACAGCTGAAAACAAAAATTTCCAGTACGGATTAGTGGAATATTCTAAGAAATGTAAGAGCTCGAAAGAAGTACAAGTAGCCTCAGCATTCTTCTAACTACTGAGAACAGATGTCAAAGTGATAAGGAGAAAGTCACTAAGAAAAGTTAAGTGATTGCAGCATGGACTCCACTCAATAGCCTTAAAGAAAGCAACAGTTCTCCAGTCGCTGGCATCGAAGAGTTTAACATCGCAGTTACTTCACAGTTCACAATTAAGCAATGGAGAGAGGAGTGCTTCAAAACGTGTCATTAAAGAATCTCAATATGTTTTTCCCCGCACGTCTTCGGATGTAGATCCAACCAGTCTGGCACAGCATACACGTGATACTGGGGCCAATATAAAAATATCCAAGATGTTTACCGATTGCTAAACAGGAAGTGATACCATAACTTTTTAAGGGCATGCAAGAAAATAGTTATCGAGATTTCAGCAAGTCCTTGTGCACCTCCCATCATCCTCATCATTAAAAAATGTGATTAAACTAGATTTTGCGTTGACTATCACCATCTGAGCGATGTCGCTAAGAAAGACAGCTATCCTTTTCCTAGTTTGACAACATTTTAGAAACTCGTTCTGGATGCAAGTGGTTTTCGATTCTTGATTTAAGTAGTGGATATTGACTTACAGAGATGCACCTTGATGACATTGATGAAAGATGGCATTGACTATCCGATAAAGATTTTGACAGTGGCGGTTCCAGGTAATGTCGTTTGCATTATGCAATTCGCCGGCAAAATTCGAGAGTCTCATGGTGTCCATCCTAAGAGGTCTTTTTTACTGCCTTATATGCGAGGATGACGTCATTATCTACTGGAAAAGTTTCAAAGAGAATTTAGAAAATAATAAGGAAGGTGGTTCAGAAACTGAAGGAAGCCGACAAGGTTAAGTCCTGTCAAATGTTAATTTAGATAAGAGGTAACTTATCTTGGGACATGTCATCAGTAACGAAACTTCATATGATACGGATCTAGAAAAAGTGGTGGCAGTTAAAGCTTGGGGACGCCTCAAAAGTATCTACCAGCTGAGATGTTTCCTGGAGCTTTGCAACTGCTATATGAGATTTTTGAAGGACTTTACTTCCATAGAAAACCCCTTCAACAACTGACAGAGAGCAACTGCAAACTGAAGGAGTTTTTTAACATCAGCGACATTCCTGGCATGTCAATTCTTTTACAAATCATTTATTCTTGATACGGATACAAACAACGAAGTTGTCGATGCAGTTTTGTCCCTAAGAATAAGTGATAAAAAAACTGTCTTATTATACTAAAAAAGTACCTATCTAAATCGGAAAGGAAATAGTGTGTCACCAGTAAAGTGTTCCTCACCATAGTTATAGCCGTAGGACATTTACAAAACAATTACGTTTACGACAGAAAATTCCTGCTCCGACAGGACACCACTTTATTTATTCTCTCTTCATTATTTTAAAAATAATGAAAAGAGAATAGAGTTCTGCATAGAGTTCGTGAATACTTCTATTATAATAAATAGAGTAAAGCAAGTGTCTTCCTACAAGTGTCAAACTTGTAGGTCTCGTACGGGTTGGAAAGGACAAAACAAACACAGTTGACGGAAGCTTACAGTATGGAAACACCTTTATGAACGCACCGATTTTGATTTGACCTGATGAGGGCAGCAAATAAATCCTCGTTGTCACTGATAACGTTTCAAAGTGGTCTGAAGATTATGCTGTCGCTGATCAAGAGAGTGTCACGGTAGCAGGAAAATTGATACAGCACAGGATTTCCAGAATTGGAGTGCCGCTTCAATTACATTTCAATCAAGAAAGAAATTACATCTTGGCTGTAATTAAAGAATTCTGTAATCAACTTGGAATAAACAAAACTGAAACTACATCGTTAAATCTACAGTCAGAGACTAACGGCTTTTCCACATCCCAGATACTATTTGGTCATGACCATCGTATGCTCTTATGATGGGTTTTTTGGTCGTCATTCAGATGGGCCTTCATCCTCTGATGAGTATATCCAAGTTCTCCAGGCCATGGTTTGATGCACAGAAAGGAGTAAAAGATGTCGTAGTTTACATGCATCAATCATCAAATTATATGCCTAAAACCATTCATTATTACATCTAGCCCCTAACTATCTTCCTATTACGTTGTCCCCATTGTGTATGTAAGGCAAATAGAATGTGGTGCTATGTGTGGAATGTATGTATATGTATGCACGTGCATGTATGTGCGATCCTAAGATCATGGTCCAATGTGTATATAAATTTGTAAATTTATGCATTTATATGTTGATTTAGTATTTTATTAAAATTATTATTTTAGTGTTTCATTATTGATTCATTTCATTTAGTTATTGATTTTCCTTAGTTGCAAGTGTGGCTTTCAGTCCAGGAATTGCACTGCTCTAAACATGCATACAAGGGGAAGGGCAATGTTACGAATTTCGTATATATTTTATATGTATAAATACTTTCAGTATAAATACTTTCAGTGAAATTATATGCAAATTGTATGTTTTTTATAATGTAACATTAAATAATACGGAAAGCGAAACATTGTGTTACAGTGTTAAATTTGTTTAATATTGAGATAATTTGGCAATGTACCGTCAAGATGACAATAGATATTGCTATTAAATGTCTCCAATTTTGGTCAAAAATCGCCCAAAACGTGGTGACCATTTCACGACATTTGGGTCCGATCCCTTTATAACTGTATCTTATATTCAACCCTATGTAACTGTAAATGTGCATACCTTCCTGCAATTTTGAGAAATCGAAGGTTCTGGAAATTCCTCGGCGGATGAGGGGAAACTATATAAGAGCGGAGAGATCATCAGCTTTCAGTTGAGTTCAGAGTATTGGTAGATCTGCAGTGCGAGCTTCACGTTCAGGTACGCTTTCCTGCATTGAGTTCAATGTTCTTAGTGATTTTAGGTGATAACTTCTGATTGTGCTCTGTCTACTATACGAGAACTTGAGTGTGAAACGTTGCAGAGCTGTAAGGCGATTTCATTTCTTTCCCCTTTTTCCCTAAGACGTTGAGAAATAAATTCCATCAAGATCTCATCGATTTTGCGTGCATTCTATCAATTACAATGATTAACGCACGTAAAATACGTTTTTTGAATCAGTCTTCTGAGACCAACAGTTTTTACGTGCGTACGGGTTTGTAATTGATGTTTGTAATTGATGTAATGCGTGCAGAACCAATGACAGCTTCATGAAATTATTTAATTCTTTTTTTAAATTAAAAACAGTTACAGTTCTGGAACTTTTACTCAAACGTACTTTCACTCAAAAGCTGTTCTGAGTAGACAGAGAGCAATCAGTAGTTATTACTTCAAACTACTAAGAACGTTGAAAGCAATACAGTTCAAAGTACATCTAAAAACGAAGTTCGCCCGGATATCTCTCAGTATTCTAAATCCAACTGAAAACTGATCCTCTCTCCTATTTTATAAAGTTATAAGGTATTTTCCCGCCCACTTGGCATGCCTTCGTGGTGTGGTGGTCTGCACGCTGGAGGCGTATTCCAGAAGTCTGCGGTTCGATTCCCGGCGAAGGCGTTGCTCATTTTTCATCTTTCCGGCCTCAAAATAACCTAATGTGTCAACAAAGTTTCCTCCATCCACTGAGAAATTTCCAGTATCTTTGAGTTGAAGGCAGAGATAATTACAGTTAAACTGGGACGGATACAGTTAGACTGGAATCTGACCAGTTACACAGGAATCGGATCCAGTAGCCACATTTGGGGAAATAGACAATATATTCTACAATTTCCATAAAATTTCACTAAAAAT